GGCCAAAGGCCACCTGCCAGAAGTGCTTTAATTACATAGCAGGCTAGTGGACTTGGAGGTACAGGAGATAATCTCTTCTAGATCTCTAGGCTGGAAGAGGTGATTTGGTATTCTCAGATCATGGAGTGATATGATGAGAGTCCTGTATTCATACTCTGGGCACATTTTATGCTCTGTAATTATGTGATCAAATGAAGTTGCACCTGCTGTTTAATCCAGACATTTTAGGGCCTGTGTTTTCTTTCATCTGTTGTCAGAGGTAATATGCCAGGTGCTCTATAAGACAGAACTAAAAGAACAACAGCTACCATAGGGAGCTCACAGGCTGAAAGAAAAGCACACATAGAAAAAAAATCAGTGGGAGGTCCAGAGCAGGACAATAATAAATAAATTAAAATCCAATAAACTGAAAAGTTCAGTATCAGTTGTAGTTCAGTCTTATTCTCATATTGTGATGGAGAAGGCAGTTAACTGATTATAAGTCTTGCTGATGTGAGCTTTTTAAAGTATGTGAGCAACAGGTCCACTGAGACTGAGGTCTATTTTGTGGATGGATAGGTTATGGAAGCTGTATGATTAGATGGAAACAGTATGCCTGGTTATTAAGGGCAGAATGAATGCATAAAAAATGAGGGCAAACATAGAGGCATATCTTCGTGCAAGGCTTTGCAGGTGAAGAAAGAGAATTTAAACTGATAGGTCAGGCTCAAAGAGTAGATTAAAAGGTTAAAACTGAGATTATAAGATTTGACGGATGGGTAAAATGATTATCGAACTGAGGAGAAGCAGCGATATCAGATGGTTTATGTGCAGTGACTGTCAAAATGCTCATTTAGACCACAGGCAGACAGGAACAGGATAGAAGAGAGGATGTGTCCATTAGCTTGCACAGAAACTTCACTTCCCTGACCCAGAACCCAAATCCTACTGATCCACTATCCAATACCAAGTGCAGCTCAGACACAATTCAAAATTGACCCCCAAACGATGGGCTGCATCTCCTTCACCCAAGTTTTACACAGATGTAATTCTCTCACCTTCAGCAGTTTTATCTTCGATTGACGTTGGCCTGTAACCTACCCTCCAGACACGGAAAACTAAGAAGCAGCCAAGGCTCCCTCTGTTCCTTTAACTCATCAGGAACACACCACACGCCTGAGCAATGGCAGCAATCATCCCTGCCACGGTGCACACCCTTGCCCGGATTTGGCCCATGTCAATCAGCACTGCCCTGAGTAATGTCTCCTTATCAGGGTAAGGAACAGCACAAGCCAGGGCACACTCCTGACAGACATCCAGCCTGTTCTGAGGACAGAATCTGTGCCGTGCCAGCTTGATCTCAGGCACTGGCCCGTGTCTTTTCCCACTGTACATGTAGTAGCCTCAGGGTTGAATGAGCCGTCTGGATCTGTCAAGCTGGTTCCAGCCCAGCAATGTCTCCTGACGTTTCCAGGCTTAAGTTTGAAGAACTTCAGCTGTGAAAGGTTCCTATCATAGTCCTGAGTGTCATCTGTGCAATTTTGCCCTGGAATGCAAGATAGATCCATCGCATTTTTTAAAAAGAAAAGGAGATACTAGATGTAAATGTCAGTTTGTGCTCTCCTGTTTGTGAAGGTCACAGCATCATTTTACTATACCTTCAGCTTTTATGGAAGGACACATCTCAGCACTTTTAAAGCATATAATTTTTTGTCACTATTTTGAGCCCTATTGAGAGTGAAGACTTCTCACAGTATTTTTTTAGCTTCTCTTCCAGAAGCAGGTTTTTGCTTTCTGTTTAGAGCAGTCTGTGATGCAGTAGTTTGTATACTGACAAGGAATTTTAACTAGTTAGTTATTGTATCCCTTGTCTGCAGACTGTTTGTTCCATACATTGTTTAGAACCCTAAATTGTAAATCATCCTATTTCGATCATCTCGTCTTTGTTTGCATTTCAATGCCCATTGAAACATTCCATGCTAAGACTACCATTTTCCTCTGCGTCCACTGGTGTAGAACATTCAACCAGCAGGCCCACCTTGAGCAAAGGGCAAGCTGAAATACTATGGATCTATGAGACAGAGGAGGTGAATGACATAAAATGAATTCAGGCGTTTTATGACACTTGAATTTCAGCATGCACAAGTATTGTTGATAATCTGCCTGACTTCATTAGCATGAGATATGAAGGTTGTTGTGCTCATGAATGAAGGATGTGCTTTTCATTTCTATAGTCAATAATAAAAATGGTAATTTCTAGGAAAAATTTAAACTGAATAAACAAAGACCTGTCTGCTGTTGAACAAATAATATGACTTTGAAGTACAGTTCAACCTCACACAAAGATTGTCTTTGTAATACTGCAAGAGTCACCGAGACTTCAGATTAATTTGTGCTGCATAAGTGCAGAATACAAAAATTGAATCTCTTCAAGGGCTGAAGGAACTGACAATAGCCTTTTGAAAAGACATTCTAAACAAAGAATTAGTGATGTGAATAGGTATAGTCATAAAATATAAAGAAATAAGAAGTTCTCTTGCTTAGGAAGTAATCACGAACAGCTACTCATATCCCTCATGCAGATTCATAAACCTGAGGGAATCACAAAGGAATTCTAACTTTCTTTGAAAAATTTGCAATTGACCCTATTAAAAACAAATACAACTTTTTTGCAGGATGGAAATTCTAACTTTTTTGTGCTTTCTCTAGGCTCACTGAAACTAACAAATATATTCATACAGGATGACTATGAGAAATAAATTAATTCTAGTCCTAATTCTACTGGATAATTGAGACAGAAAGAGTCTCAAGTAAATTGCCCAAATTTGCACAGGAATTCTTCTGACAAAGTCAGAATCTGCCTTACGGATCCCGTTGCATGACCTTTCCCTTTCATTTTGAAAAGGAAATTTATTTTCTTCTTTTTTTCTCAAACACAACAAACCCATAAACATTTAATCTAGTTTAGCCTACCCCTAAATTTTAGTCTGCTTTTGGGCAAAGCTTGTGAGAATAATGCTTACTTCTTGGAACGGAGAAATAATGTTATATTTTCTTCAGATCATTCTGTAAGTGTTTCTGAATATATGTACATGATATAATAAATAGCTTCTTTTTCAAAAATACAAACCTGCTGTTTCAATGTCAACTTCTTTATTAGGAAGTCAACAGTAAGATCTAGTTACTTACATGAATGTAAAGGTTCCTTCAGAATATTTTTGTTTTAACTTTCATTTTATTCATTACTCTTGTGCAGCCAAATTAGAGGACACACATATGAGTTATACATTATAAGCAGATCATCTGAGTAAAGTCTCCATAGAAACTGCTTAATTTGTGCTTTTATTTAATTAGAGTTGTCCATTACCTCTCCAAACAAAATTTAATTTAAATTCATATGCCAGTCATTTTTAAAATTGTGTATGACTTTTTATCCGTCATTTAATGAGATCTCTAGTAGGCTGTGTGTCAGCAGAGTGAGTTTATTTAACAACTGAGTTTATAAACAAGATGTTTATTTGACAGCTCAGCTTATCCAACATTCTTAACATCCTTGGGACTTATTTTCTATGCGGTATCTGTGCTATACTACCCATTGTTATAAATTGTATGTTCTTAACCTCATGAACTGTCAAAACCAAGAACAATTGTTTGAGAGTATCCACATGAGTATATTTACTCATTTTGCTTGCTGTGAGATAATCAGGAAAAAATCACAGTACAAACAAAAAGTGCAACCAAGACCAAGAAATATACAAAATGCATTTATTTATTAAATGGAGCATTGAAACAGGCAAAACAGTGTCTGTTGTAAGCTAAACTAAAAAACAGCTTGTCTGATACAGGGACTGAGGTACTCTTTAAGAAACGTCTGAGTTGGTTCAAAGTTATGGGAATATCTGCCTGAGGATACGAGGAACTTTAACTGATGTGAGTTATTTAGAAGTCTTAAGTCCTCAGTTGTGCACAGCAGAAACTTGATCTGTAATACTTGTCTTTCCCTGAAGAATTGCTGGTCAGACGTATAGTGAGAGGCTATGGGGTACTCCATTCTTTCGCTGTTCTTTTGAGATGTCTGTGCTTGTAACACATGGAAGGTAATAGGGCAAAAACATTTTTTTAAAAGTTAAAAAGGTAGTATTGTGTACTTATATGAAACACATTACTGCCATATTTTGTATCCTGATCTATGTATTCTCAAGGCAATCTTGTACCTTAAGGAAGTGTTACCTAGTTTTCCATATGCAGCTTAGTGTTAGAAACAGCTGAGCTAGATGCCAGGTCCAAATTAATTTGTAAGCCAGCATGACAAGAGCACAATGCAGAGGCAAGAAGCTGCAGTTCTGCAAGCAATACAGGCAGGGTAGCTAAGAGCTGCACACAGGCCATTCAGCAGGTTTCTGCATGTCTCACTGCATTCATACAGCACAGACAGAGCTTAAGTACTCTTCCAAAATTACAGAAGTTGTCTCTGGCACAAAAGTAAATGTTATTGATAGGAGAAAGTCACCATCACAGCATTACCAGAGTTCAGAATGGAAGACTTGAGATGGCTGTGAATAAAAGGTGAAGAAAGTGGACTGAGAATCATGAGTGGCATTATTATCATCAGAGGTGGGAAGTGCTAAAGGTACAACTGGAGGAGTGACAATAATGATTCTTCTTGGAATAAATACATTAAGGCTAAAAGGCAGTAGAATTCAATGTGACTAAGCAAAGCTGAAAGGAACAATGTAAAAAATGTTTTTAAAAGGCATTTATTAATATTACGACACTAGTGATGTGAGAACCTCTTCACAAAATTTTTTAAAAAAACATGCAACATAAGAACACTAAAACAACTGTCAAAGAGGAATAGATGGGGCAGATAATAGCACCTCAACAGCTTGATGGTATCAGAGATACTGAATGGTAATAGGTATCACTCAGTGGATTTAAGAACTAGTGGAGAGTTTATGTCTGGGTCTACAAAAATATCAGAATTATTAAATAGCTACTTTGTTTCTGTCTTTTCAGAAGAAGAGGGTGGCGATCTGCTCAAGTCGAGCTTCAGTTTTCCAGGGACGCCAGAGGAGGAGCTAGGTACAGATATCATCTCTCAGATAACTGGTACTGCTGGTACCTCCAGAGGCTGGGTGCAGCCATGGGGGTGAGGAGGCAGGAGGTGCCTCTGTGGTGCAGCCGTTCTCCAGCCACAGAGCCCAAAACAGGCATGGCACCAGGCACTGTTAACAAGAGTGGCCAAAACTTCCAAATTCAATCCTTCTGGGAAGTTCTCACCTGCTATATAAGGTTAGAGAATCAAAAACAGAAAACCATCAGATTTGGGTAACATCCAGGCGACCAAGAGTTCAAAAGAAGGTGTTTAAGGAAATTAATGACTTTCCTTCTTCTGTCTTTTTCTGTTTTTCTTACCCCTTAGAAAAGATAATAATTGCAGAAAGAGTTTTCAATGTTACCTTTTAAATTTTAAAAAATAATAGAAGCAAGAAGAGATCGGAAACTCAGAGACCCCACAAGTGAAATCTTGATAGCTCTGTCTCGCAAAGCTAGTAGTAAAATGTCCCACTGGCTTCAGTGTAGCCAGATTTATGCATTTTAGATTGTGCAAAATTGAGTTTCTGTTCCCAGAATTTCATATTCAGATTGTCACTGTTTTATGTGAAATCCATCAAAATCTCAATTTACATGCAGTTACTTTAGGTGGTTATTTTTGGAAGAGAAATATGGAAAGTGGTTTCTGTGTGTTTGCGAGTTAAAGTTCCCTTTATTCAAAATGAGCATACTTACATTTCAGAAGTTGGTGCAACAGTTATTTTTCTCCTTTTATGCATATGCTCATGTTAATACATTGCAACTGGGTTTTTTTGTGTTATTAGGATATTTTTGTATTTGACAAGAATATTATAAACTCTCTCTGACCTTATTGTTGCACATTCATAGGAAGATAAATACATTGCAACTGGGTTTTTTTGTGTTATTAGGATATTTTTGTATTTGACAAGAATATTATAAACTCTCTGACCTTATTGTTACACATTTATAGGAAGATAAATCATAGTTTCTATACTAAGGGAAAAAAAAAGTTTGAACAAGAAGCATGAATTGAGGCAGGGGATGTCATTAATTTGGAATCTCTTAGAACAAGGATTTTCTGAAACAAGTAGTGTTGCCACTCAGTTACACTCAAGTCAGGAGTTCCATAAACATTCAGTGTAAAAATATCTGTATTGAACTTGTTTGTCTACTTAATATTAAAAAAAAAGTGAAAAAAAGCTCCAAAGATCAGACAGAAGGATGTGTTAAGGAACAGACTGAAGAACCTTCAGGCAGTTTCTGTCTTAATTAAAATAGTGTAAGAGGGAAGATACGGTTAAACATGAGGCTCCCTAGGAGTCTCAAAAGTGAATCCTATGGAGGAATCATGGAATGAGCACGTTTCTCAGCCTTCTTGGACATTTGGGGTTTTTTCTCCCTGCTGCCCCATTTCACAGCACACGGAAAGAGTTCAGATGCAGCAGGGCAGAATTCATCTCATCTAACAGCTGGAAAGTAATTCAGCTGTAGATGTCTAAACTGTAGAAATCTGGACTTCCTTTAGAGTCAATGAAGAGTGATAGACTTTTATAGGACAGAGTAGATTCAGCCTACTTGAGAAGCTAACTTAGGGTGAGATGAATCATGCCCCAGAAGTATGTCAGAGTTGTACTCCTTCCCATTTGGTTGAGAAAGAACTGCATGATTTCTGAAGCCAGAGTAAATGATGTATAAGTCAATAGTGTTAAATGTCAGGTGTCTATGGGAGTAAGGACCCTCATATGAAATAGGTAATCAAAGATTAGCACAAAGATATATGCTCAACTGATCAATCATCCAGCATCCTGATTAGGAAGAAGATGGGAGATTAGTCAACAGAAATGAGAAACAGGAAAGTAAAAAACAAGAATAAAATTAGAACCAGACTACAAAGAAACTAGGCTGCTTTCAAAAACTTCATCTATTTATGGCCAGAGGGCTGAAAAAAATATGCTAAAAGCAAGGGAAGGTCTGTCCTTGCCCCTAAATTTCATGTCCCCATTAGACTGCTCTGAAAGTAAGTACCAAAGATAGCTAGGTGGTGAATGGAGAGAGGTGGATGGCTTTAATATTTTCTGAAGGAAATCCTGTCCTCCTGACTTAGCTGCCAAACTATAGATGGCCAGAATAGGTGGATACCCTCAGTAATGTAAAAATATATCATGTCCCATTCTCCCTTAGAGAGAATCACTGTAAAACAAAAAGGAGCATGCTATGGAAGATGGAAACTGGGAAGACTTTTCTAAAAGTTTTAGGATAGTCAGTTAAGTTCAGTGTAGACAAGCTCTGTAGTTACAGCTGTGCTGGTGATTAACTTCTCTACAGGCAGCTTGGGACATATCTGTCTGTCTGTCCATCTCTCCCTCAGTGTTGTGTTCTGTTACTTGAAGATTTGAGTTCAAATCCATGAACTGAACATAGCATTAGTGAAAAAGCTACAAATCATTAGATCATTCTCAGTATCCATTATTTCTTGCTGTTGCACATGTATAAAGTTAAATTCATTGGAGAGAAATCTGAATCTGGGTGGATACTCTAATCACTGGGCTATGGAAATGGACTCTCTCTCTCTCTCTCTCCCTCTGTCTCTCACCCAATGACTATGTAGTTATTTGGTATGAACAGCCTACAGTCTGAAGGGCTGCTAGAGACATTAATTCCTGAAAAAAAAACCCACAGAAAGGGCTTTTCTTAAGAAGTAAAATAATTGCCCCAAGTCAAGGCAGAGTAGAGGTGATATTCTTTAAGGTAGCTCTGACTGCAGGGCCATTCATTATTCTAGACTCTCATACCTGCTCACTGTCACAAGTTATGATCTCTCTGGTATTGAAAAATCTCTAGCTCCAGGCCCTTATTTGTAAAACGAGTTTAATATTTCCTAGTGAGGTTTCAGGGCTTTAGTGGGGATTAATTAATGTTTGCACAGTATCTCACCAGAGTGAAAATGCTGAATAGTCACTAAATAATATTATTAATACAATGATCCACTGCCTTAACTGGGAGAAGGTATCAAGGGATGGGACTGATCTCAACTCTTTTACATTATTGATTCTGTAAAAGACCTCATTAGTTAAAACAGGCAGAAATGCTATGGATTCCTTCAAAAAAAGCTTACCCAAGCATTCATAGTCTGTTCTCAAGAACAGCATTTCATAGCTTTGCCTTTATCATGTCTTTGTTAACAGAGTTCAGGGTGATAAGTATTGTCATGGTTACAAGATTCACACTCGCACACCAAAAATTCCTATGATTTTCACTAGGCATTTCTCAAATAAGCAACCCGATAAAGGTAGTGGGGCATCGTGGTAGGAGCAAGAGATCTGACATGCATGATCTCAAGCAGCTCACTCTAAGTCTCATGGAAACTGGAGTTCTTCCAATTCCAAGCTTTCACAGAATCACAGAATGTCAGGGATTGGAAGGGACCTCAAAAGATCATCCAGTCCAATCCCCCTGCCGGAGCAGGAACCTAAATGAGATCACACAGGAAGGCGTCCAGGTGGGTTTTGAATGTCTCCAGAGAAGGAGACTCCACAACCTCCCTGGGCAGCCTGTTCCAGTGCTCTGTCACCCTCACTGTAAAGAAGTTTCTTCTCAAGTTTAAGTGGAACCTCCTGTTTTCCAGCTTGCACCCATGGCCCCTTGTCCTACCATTGGTTGTCACTGAGAAGAGTCTGGCTGCATCCTCGTGACACTCACCCTTTATATGTTTATAAACTGTCTCAGTCTCCTCTTCTCCAAGCTAAAGAGACCCAGCTCCCCCAGTCTTTCTTCATAAGGGAGATGTTCCACTCCCTTAGTCATCTTCGTGGCTTTCTTCTAGCCTGTGGTTATAAAATCTGAACAATGTAATTTACTAGAAAATAAGCATTTTATGAAACTACTATTTTCTATCCAAACTGGAAACTTCTCACTATCTTACTTACCTTAGGCATGTACAGGGTAAAGCAACAATTTGCTTTGGTTGTCAAAAACAGATAGTGCAATCTTAACAATGGGCATATTGGTTGCCCAGAGAAGCTGTGGATGCCCCGTCCCTGGAAGTGTTCAAGGCCAGGTTGGATGAGGCTTTGAGCAACCTGGTCTAGTGGAAGATGTCCCTGCTCATGGCAGGGGGGGTGAAACTGGATGATCTTTAAGGTCCCTTCCAACCCAAACCATTCTGTGATTTCATATGAAAAATGTGCCATGTTTAAATGGCATTCAAATAGTAAAAGAATCATATGAATAGGGAAGATAGGATTAAATTTTCTTTAAATATAGATTTTAGTACATAGCACATCCACAGAGTAAAGAGGGAAAAATAGATTATTGAAAAATTATTTTAACTCCTTTTTATAGGTAAGGAAAACAGTTATTTTACACGTTTAACACTTACTTAGCAGCTTCTAATGTTAAGAAAAGAAAGAGAAACCACACTAAAGGTTTTTGTTTCAGTAAATTACTGTTTTCTCTTCAGGAAGGGATATTTAGTTGATGTTAACAAAAAAAACAGGTTGCAGTTACTAATAATGCTCTTAACCTGCCCCAGTTACCAAGTAAACTGTAAGGGAGTTTAAGGACAGGTTACAAAAATGTATTTTTATTTCACAGTTGATGCAGTCATGGTTTTGATTAATTGATATGGTTCAAGTGTCAGCCAGTAACTCATGGTTATTCAGTCACTATTGATTGCATGATCATGCCTTTATGACCTTATGTGTTGAAAGGATGAAAGGATATAGCCATTCTTGAAATAAAAAAAATAAATAAAGGCCTGACTTTCTAGTCTGTCTGTCTTTTTATCTAATTACCCAGCCTTCCTCACTGCTTTCAATGTCTGAATGCTTTGCACTTTTCATGGGTTTTAGCTTCACAGAAGAGGCACAACAGGAAATTTTCCCAAGGACAGACAAGGGGTTGGCATTGGACACTTGGCTCTCCTCTGTGCAAGTTGCATGCCTCAGTCCACCTTCCCCCAGAGCATCCAGGGATGGTTAAACAGCTGCAGACCTTGACCAGAGCTG